TATTTGAATCAAGATGGGAAGGGTGTCGCGCCCTTCTTCTTTAACAACCATGTATGGAAGCCGGCGGGAAAGGGGTCACTTTTTCTCCCTTCCCTCTTTTTTTTTTCCCCCGCTAACCCCCGTCCCTTTTGCCCATTCACGACTTTTCTTTCTGCGCCTGAGAGGGGCGAGGTGGTGGGTGGGCGTTGGGTGCCCGCGCACGCCCACCCGCTCCCGCCGGCTCTCGCCGCCGATCCCTGTTGGAGGGCGCTTCGCATGTACGTTCCCCTGGGATCTATCCTCGCGGGGAACGGTAAATAAACCCAGCTTGTACGGCAAACGTGCCGCGGCCCACGTTCTCCTGGTGTCCTTGTACGCATGTATTTACGCACGCCTCTCCCCTCCCCCCGCGCACGCACGCACGCAGTGCCTCCACGCGTGTGTGTGTGTGTGCCGCTGCAGGTGGACGGGGAATGCGGCCCGCCGCGCGCCCGCGTCACTCCGCAGCCGTGACGTCTTGCCGGGCGGAGCCGCGGCGGGCCCGCTTCCACCGCGTACTCGCCTGCTTCCCCTCTTTTTCTCTTCTCTTTTCCTCCGCCTTCCCCGCTGCGACGCGACCGCGCGTGCGGGGGGAATTCATCGCGACGGTGGTAGAGGGCAGCCGCAGCCGCCACGACGGAAGAAAAAACCAAAGGAAAGAAAGAAACAAAACATACAGGACAACAAAGAAAGGCAGCAAAAACAAAGACAGCAAGGGCACGATAGAGGCGTGCCTTTTTCCGCCCGTCCACACCCAGCCTCTTTCCTCCGCCTCGCTGTTTCTCCCTGTGTCTCTGTGGGCGTAGGGGGCCTCCCTGCTGCTGCGCGGCCCGCCAATGGAGTTTGAGCAGCTGGAGATGGGCAAAAATTGCCTCAAGGCGGCCATCGCGCGGCAGGACGTGGCCGACTACTACGAAATTCTGCACCCCAACGTCCTGCTGGTCTCTCACTTCGAGTACCCGCCGGCCCCGCCGATAGTCGCCGACACCATCCCGCACATCGCCAGAGGGCAGCGCAGGGCCGCCGCACGGGCGAAGGCGGCGGTCGCGGCGAAAAAGACGGGAAGCGTGGCGGGGAGGACGGCACAGAGCGGGAGCAGCGTGGGGCCCAACACCGGCCCCACGCCACGGACCACCTCCACGACGACGGTGGCGACGACGACGACGGCGGCGGCGGCCACCGCAGCCACGAAGGCGGGGGATGCATCGGAGGCGGGGGCGGCGACCAAAAACATGACGCGGAACGGGGGAAGCGGCACGACGGCGGAGGGCCGAAAAAAAGCAAAAGCAAAAGACGAAGCAAAACACCGGGAGGTACGAGGTGGACATTGTAGAGGGCCCACTGCTGGCCACCGAGCGGTTCTACCGCATTCTGCACTGGATGAACAAGGGGATGTACATCGCCGAGACACATTTCGAGATGGAGGTGAGGAAGGCAATCCTGCAAGAGTCAGAGCGCTTGCCGCCTCCGCCGTCGCCAAAGAACGAGGCGGAGCGCTACGCGCAGCTTGGACACCAGTACACAGACCGCAATCAACGCCTTAGTCGATTCTTCATGACGTATGGGCGTGAGATGTTGCTCTTTCGTGATGAGTGCTACTTTGAGGACGGCCTGATTGTGACGATTCACCGCTACATGCTCACGGTGCAGGAAATGCTCGCCCTCGTTGGGCTCGCCGGCTGCGAACACCAGCCGCAGGCGCAAAAGCGCATCGAGGATATTACGGCCGAACGTGAGAACTTCTACGCGGCTAGAAAGGTCCGGGTGGACATGCACACCCGCGCGACGCTGCCGTTGCTGGATTTTACCTTTTGCAATATTTCCGACCCACTGCAGCTGCTGCAGGTGCAGCCTGTCACCGGCAAACCCCACGTCTCGCGCGTGCTGCAGCCGGCCGTTGAGCCTCACTTCGCCCAGGGCGTCTTCTTGAATCAGCAGAGTGACCCCAGCCGGCCGCAGAAGGAGCAGCGGGTGATCGTAAGGGCCCGCAACAAGCAGGGGGATGAGGAGGTGTACGAGTTTGTGGAAAACACCAAGTCGCGTTTCGGGTTCCTGCACGACAATAAAGGGGGCATGGAGAACGCGCTTGATGGCCTCGCGGGAAAGTTGAAGACCACCTACGACGCCACCAACGTGCGAATCAGCGCCTGCGGAATGGTGTCGACGGAACGGCTTGTGCCGGTGCTGCGCCGGCTTGTGATGAACGCCATTATGACGATACGGTCGCTGGACCTGAGCGGCAACAACATCAGCGTTCTCTCGGATCTCTCGCTCCTGCCGCTGCAGCACCTCTACCTGCACCAGAACAACATCACGGACTGGGCGCAGGTGGAAAGCAGGGTCTGCCCCCTCCCGCTGCTCTCCGCCGTGACGCTGCACGGCAACCCGCTGGCGGAGACAGACCCGCACTACTGGACTTCGGCCTTGTCGCGGCTGCTGCGTCACCCGAAGCGCGTCGTTAAGCTGCGGCAGCTTGACTTCGTCACTCTCACGCTGCAGGACTACAACATGGCGGGGGCCTTTGAGCTCTTTGAGACGGGAAACCCGAAGCTGCTGGAGGCGGCGCGTGGAAGGAAGCCCGGGACGAACGGCCTCGTTCCCTAAGGGCTGCGGCCTTGTCTGTCGACTGACGCGGATGCGTGTGCATGACGGTCTGCTGCGTCCCCGTTGTTAGCTTCCTTCGTTTTTCTTCTCCCTTCTCTCCTATCTTCTCATGGTCCGCCTTGCCGCGGCATCCGTGGCAGCGGTGATAGAGTCAGAGTAGGAATAACTGAATGTACAGAGCCGCATTGGCGGCTGAGTCAACGCGGAAGACTCAATGGATGCATGCGTTGTGTATTCCTTCCCTATCCTTCTCTGCGGTCTAGGCGCCCTTGTTTCTCTGCGCTTTTTTGGTTTGTTTCTTTCTCGCGTTGCTCTCACTTGTCCGTTGCGCATCCCTCAGCCCTCCGCCCTCTTTTTTTTTTGTCCTACCGCGTGTACGTGGTGCGCCTGCAACGTGAAAATTGCCTGTGCCTTCCGCGTGCTACGCCTTGCTGCGCCGCCAACGTCAGGGCTTTCGCGGCTGACTTAGAGCGAATAGAAGTGAAGCGGTGCTTATTGCGTGTTTTTTTGGGTGTCGTGCGCATACATACATAACTTACTTACATAACAAACCGTAAAAGGAGCGGCGGCGGCGTAGCGAAGGCGGGAAAAGAGCCCGTCGCGTGCCTTCATCGTCAATGTCTGCCCCGTCGGTGGTTTCCTCCGTCGAGGCGTACGCCAAGGCGCTGCTGCACTGCCAGAAGTACCCCACCCAGGCGGTCTCCGGCTTTCTGCTCGGGAAGCGCCTCACGGAGAGCGGCGCCAGCGACAGCGTGTTTGTCGCCGACGCCGTGCCGCTGTTCCACACCATCATGATGACCCACCCGCACCCCATGCTCAGCGTCGCCCACGCGCAGGTCTCCAGCTACGCCCGGACAAAGGGGCTGGTGCTCCTCGGCTACTACGTCGCCAACGAGCGTGCCGGCGACAGCAGCGTCTCGCCGCTCACTACAAACGTGCTGCGCATGCTGCAGGACAAAAGCTCTACCGGAAACAGCCCGCTGCTGTGGACCATCGTTAGCGCGAACCCCGTGGAAGGGGTGGGGGTGCACCTCTCCTACTACACGGGTGGAGGCAAGTGCGTCTCCGCGCCGGAGATGACCTTCGGCCGGTGGAACTCGGACACGCTCACCTGCGAAGCGACAACCAGCAGCACGGAGGCGGTGGAAGTCTTTGAAAACGCTGTGGACGCGTTTAAGCAGTTTCAGCTTGTGGACTTCGAGGACCACCTGGAGCGGGTGCAGCTCAACTACCTTGAACAGGCCGTTCAGGTGTAGGCGGCTCCCCTCACGGCTGGCAGCAACCCCCGCTGACGGCAGAGAGGGGGCTGCGTGCGTTTGAGTGTGTGTGTGTGTGTGTGTGTAAGTTCCCTTCTCCGTAATGGGGCGGCTTTGGGTGCGGTGGGGCATCCTCCACCCCGCCGCCAGCGACGGTTGAAGTCTACGCATTTGCTCCGCACACTTCCAGCGTCGCGTGCCAAATCGCGACGTCCTTCGCGGAACATGAGAGGAAGACCAAAAAAAAGGAAAGACGAAGGAAAATAAAAAAAAGTACGAGAGACAAGATAATAAGACAAAAGAGAAAGTAACGGATCCCAAGCCCTTTTGATATGGACTCGCGCCATTCTGTTTTTCTTTCCCTCGCCATTTTTGTGTGTGAGTGTGTGTGTGTACGGCTGCCACGTCGCCTCCCTCCCCCCGCCCCGTCGCGGTGTGTGTGTGTGTGCATGTCTGCCTCGCTGCCGCCTTGTTTCTCCCTTCTTACTCCATGTGCAACTCAAGCGCGCGTTCCCTTTCTCTTCTTTTCCTTCTTCGTCGATAGTCGCCACACGCCCCACTCTCTCTCTCTCCCTCTCTCTGTCTGTGCGTCTGTCCGTCGGTGCCACCGGCACGAGGGCCATCGTCGGACGCCCCGTATTCTCGTGGGGCTGCGCCGAAACAACACCTTCGCAGATGCGCGTCGCCGTCTTCCCACTCCGCTGCTCCGCACTGGCGGCGGTGTTCCACAGCCGGGCACCGCCGACTGCCTGGCGCATTGTCTTTTCTTTTTTTATTCTTTGTCTTTTTTTTTTAAAGCTTTAATTTCTCTTTTTTAGTTTCGGCGTCTGAGTTCGTCGCCGCAGCTGCAGTTGCGTGCCCTGCACGCACTGCGCCTGTCCCTCCCCACTCCTCTCTCTCCCTCTCCCTGTCTCTCTGTCGTTACTTCTGTCAGCAGGTATTTCTGGCGAGAGCATTCCCATGTCTTCCCCAGGCGGCGCGTCGCCTCAGGCACCGAAGCGGGCGGCGGCGGCTGTGGGGGACGACGTCGCGTTTGTGTTTCCAGAGGGCGGCGGCTACGACGACGACTGCGCCTGCACTGACGCTGAGGACGTGTTGGATGACCAGGCCTCGCAGCAGACGCTCGCCAAGTACGCCGCTTCCGTTCATGCGGCGCGGCGCGGCGCGCTGACGGCGCTGCCGTTTGACGAATCTGAGGCACCCAACTGCGCGCCGGACGCAGCCGCAGCGACGGCGGCCGACGCGGCAATCCTCCGCGACGTCTTTGCGAGCCACCCACTGCTTCGCCTCCTCGACGCGGCGGCGCGTGCGGCGTTGATGCGGGCGACGGTGCGGGAGGAGGTTGCGCCGGGCGGCCTCGTCGCCCCGCCGCTGGAGATGAACACGAGTTTTGTGATTGTCACCCACGGCAGCGTCTACGCCACGCCGAACGAGGCCGCCGAGCGCATCTCGGCGATGGAGCAGCTGCTGCAGAGCGCCGCCCCCGCCAGTCCCTCGGAGGGGTGCGAGCGACACGCGGAGGGGAGCCGCAGCAGCGCTGGTGACGCGAGCAAAGTTGCTGGAGGCCCGCACCTCCCCGGTGAGACCTTCTTTCCCGTCAACCTGCTGTATGCAACACGGCCGTCGCACGTCTTAAGGGCCGGCGACGACGGGGCAACCATCTGCCGGCTGTACATGCAGAGCTTCAAGTGTCTCTTGTCGAAGCCGCGTACGCCGCCGCAGGACGCAGCGGCGACACCCGCGAACGATGCGGGTCTTCCTGGCCCGCAGGGGGACGCCGCTGCGGGTGCCTCGGTGAGCACGCGGGAGGCCTCGCAGCACGCACAGATGGATTTCTATGTCTTTCCAGTGGATGGGGACGCTCCCGGCCCCGCGCTGGAGCTGCCACGCGCGCCGCAGGAGGAGCTGGACGCGGAGGGGACACAAGAGCTCTGCCGGCGGGCGCGGGAAAAGAAGCGCCGGCCCGCGGTTGTGGGCGAGTCTGTGTGGCGCAACGACGTCTTCTGCCCTAGTCTCCGTGAGAAGCCAGCCGAAGAGCGTGTGATGCTTCACCAGATGGTGCGCCGTCTGCCGCTCTTCGCCTCTCTGCCGGAGCAGTACGTGGAGTTCATTGTGGACGCCTTTGAACGGCGCGTGTTCCCCCCGGGTGCCTCGATCACCGCCGCTGATGGCGGGCTGAGCCACGAGTTTCATTGGGTCGAGCGTGGCCGTGTCGTGTGCGGCGCCGGGCCAACGCGTGCGACCCAAAACGGCGGCGGCCCCGAGGCGGCCCCCACGTGTTCCTCGCAATGCTCCCACGCCGACACGAACGGCGGCGGCAACGGTGTGCGTGGGGAGACGCTTGCGTGGCAGGCCGGGGACATCGTTTCTCCACACCGTTTACTCTTCATGTACAATGATAACGTCGATGCGGCACCGGCGCGCTATGCCGCGGCCGAAGAGAGCGGTGAGGTGGTGCTGTGGACGCTGCGCCGGGTCGTGCTGAAGCGCATCCTCATGACGGCCACGCTGCGTGAGCAGCAGCGGCTGCTCAGCATCGTTGACGGGGTGGGTCTCTTTGGCGCGCTCTCCAGCGTGGAGAGGCTGCGGCTGACGGACGCCCTCGTTCCCACGGCGTACGCCCCCGGCAGCTGCCTCCTGCGGGTGGGCAGCACCCCCGACGGCGTCTTCCTCATCGACACCGGCACGGTGGAGGCGCAGCGGGCGACGGGTGGCGGCACCGTGGCGCACGTGCGGTTTCTCGGCCGCAAGTCGTGCGTGGGCGCGATGGAGGTGTTCACCGTGTCGCGCTCGCCGTTTGATTACGTCGCCTACTCCCACGTCAGCGGCTACCGGCTGCGGTGCGAGGACATGGCCCGGTTGCTCCCGCACTCCGCCCTGCTGCGCATCGCCAACGGCTGGTGCGTGGGGGAGGGCGCGCGGCAGGGCGAGGAGCTGCGGTCGCTGGAGCGGCTGCGGCAGGAGCAGCGCGACGCCGCCTCGGACTCGGGCTCGGAGGAGGGCTACACAGACGACATGTGTCCCGTGGCGCTCAAGACGGCCGAAGACGATGCCTTTCTGCACCGCTTTTTTACCAACGCAACGGCCTTCAGGGAGGCCTCTTCCATGCAACGCGGCCTCGCCGTCGCCGCCTTCGAGCCGAAGCGAGAGCTGCCGTGCGGGTGCGTGCTGTACGCGGAGGACCCAACCGTGGCGAGTGAGGCGCGGCGGCGGCAGTGCATGTACGTCATCGCCGACGGCGCCGTCACGCTGTCGCATGGCGGCGAAATTATTGCGACATATCGGCGGGGCCAGGCGGTTTCTGTGACGCCGCTGCTGCAGAAGCGTCGTGCCACGCCGGCGACGACGGCGACCGTCGCAAGTCCCACGTGCAGCCTCTACCAACTCGACCGCAAGCCCTTTCGCTGTCTGCTGATGACGGCCTACCTGCGACACCTGCGCTCCTCGCGCGCGTTACTCTCCACCGCCCCGCTGGCGTCGCGGTTGGGCGACGCCGCCCTCACGGCCATCAGCGACTGCGCCGTGGCACGCGTGTTCATGCCCGGCGAGGTTGTGCTTGCCTGCGGTGCGGAGGCGCGACAGGTGGAGCTGCTGCTGGAGGGCACCGTGGACGTGGCGCTCTGGCGGGATTCGGCGGAGGACACGAGGCTTCGCGTTGTCGCGGCGCTCGGCCCTACCGACGTCGTTGGGGGGCTCGACCTGCTGCGCAACTGCCCTTCGCGGGTGTGCTACCTCGCCACCGCGCGGGTCCGGACGCTTAGTGTCCCGGCGGAGGTCTTTCGCGACACCTGCCTTCGCTCCCCCGCGGTGCTAGAGTACATGCGTGAGCTGCAGCGCTCCGGTCGCTACGCATTTTGCCAGCGGGAGGCAGGTTAGGCGGCCGCCACCGGGGGGTCTCTCTCTTCGTGGAGCTAAACTGCGTGGACCCTCACACTAGCGATGCTTACGTTTTGTCGTTGCTTCTGCTGCTGCTTCTGCTGCTGCTTCTGCTGTTGTGGTTGTTGTTTTTCTCACTTGTACGTTTCCCTGGACCCTGTTAGAATGTGCGTGTGGGCAGTAAATGTTTGGCTGCCTCTGACTGCCGACTTCCCTCTCCCTCTCTCCATCTCTCACCCTCTTTCTGTGTGTCTGTGTGTCTGCTTGCCACGGTGGGCTTATGCGTGACTCTCCTCCCACTTCCCACTTTCTCCTTTAGCGCTCCCTCGCCTGCCGGCCGGCGATGTTCCGCGGCGTCACGGGGCGTTGCCGCGTGCGTGTGTTGTGTCTCACGGCGGTGCCCGACGGCGGGGCCATGACGCTGGCGCTGCGGAAGCTCGGCTACATGCCGTACACGCTGCGCTCCTGCTTCCAGCAGGGCCACGCAGCCCGCCACCCGGCGGAGTGGTCGCGGATACTGAACGGCGAGCAGCCGGTGGACATGCGGCTGCTCAGCAACCACGACGCCGTTGTTGGGCCGCCGGCGATGCTGATTTACGACCGCCTGCTGCGCGCGTGCCCGGAGTACACCAAAGTCGTCCTTGTGGAGGAGCCGGACAAGCGGCGGTGGGTGCAGGAGTACGAGACCCACGTGGGTCCGCTGCTGCAGGACGGCGCGGGCGGCACACACCCCCGTCGCCGCCGCCGCCTCGGCCGCAGCGGCATCGCCAAGGCGTTCGACGAAATGATCCACAAAATGACGCCCTGCGGCGGGGCGGCGGGGCCCGTCGCGGCACTTGAGCGCTACGAGGCCGACGTCCGCTCCAGCGTGGACAAGTCCAGGCTGCTGGTCTACCGCTACGGGGACGGCTGGGAGCCGCTCTGCGGCTTCCTCGAGAAGGAGGTGCCGCACGAGCCCTTCCCGCCGTACGACAGCGGCGTGCGTGTCATTGGGAACCTGCAGGAGCGCATTGAACGCACAGAGAAGTTGACGTATTTGGTGGCGGCGCTGGCGTGCCTCGGTGTGGCCTACGTTGCCTACCCCGTGTTTGGCTCCGCGCAGACCTACCTGCGTGAGCTTTACCGCGACTACCAAACGGCGTACAGCACAAAGTAGAGGTTGCCAACGCTCTTCCAAGTGGAGATGCGGCCGTCTGCTGCGTGCGCGCGCGCACTTAGCGGCTCTGCGGGCGCCATCGCAGGTTGGACGCATACACACACGCATACACACACACACACACACACATACATATATAAATATATACCTGTGTGCTTCACAGAGGCGCAATCAAACATGCATGGGCCCTCATGCGCACCCGCGTGGTTAACACCACCTGTAGTACTCCCTTCTTCTGCGGCTGCGGCTCTGTTTCCGCCTTGTCACCCTGTGCGGCCGTTGTGCACTACACTGCAAGCGTGCCGGCGTGTACGCATTCGCACGCGCCCTCATACCCTTTTTTTTTTCCTTTGGCTTCACGCACACACGTCCCTCTCCACTGCCCGGGCGGCGCAGAGCTCAGGGTTTAGGTTTATTTTTCTTCTGTCGTGTTAGGCCCCCTGGCGGTGAGCGCGCCTGGCGGGAGACGAGAGCGGCGGGGAGGAAACTAGCAGGCGACGAAGCAGAAGGAAGAGGGAGAACGCAACAAAAACAAAACAGACCAAGAAACATCAGGAAAGGCGCACATACCTACACACACACACACAGGAAAAAAGAGAAACAAAACAAAACAAAAGACAGCAACAACAGCCAAAACAACTCAAAGTAAACCGCAGCAGCAGCAGTAGTAGCAGCGGCGGCGAAGAAACAGGCCGGGACAGAGAGAAAAGTTACCAATAACCGCCGGCCTCTTCTTAGCCCTATTCCTCTTTCTCTCACTCTCTCTCTTGAGTGTGTGTGCTTGTGTGTGCCGTGACACGCGTGAAGTGCGTGAGTGTGGCGTGAGTCCGC